TAGTCAACTTTTTTTTATTTGTTTTGAATATAGTAGAGAAGGGTTTATTTTTTGTTGTCTCTGTCCTATTGGGGAGATTTCCCTTCACTCCTTGTACTGGAGAAACAACAGGAAATCAGAGGAAATATCTACAAAATGAGGGTAATTTGCCTCTTAGAAAAAGTCAGTGGAAAAGGTTTTCCCATTGGATGTGTTACCTTTATCTCTTGTTCTGATGACAACTCTTATATTCTGGATTTCCCATCACTTGCTGCCTTAGTGACAATGGTCCCCAGAGCAAACAGAGGAGTGAATCTACCTACACAGGCAGCAATACATTTTTTTTGTCAAGAATTCTAATTCTTCTACTCTTAATTTTTTTGGGGGCTTTCCATACACTTTTTTTTTTTTTTTACTTCTGCTATAAAATCATATCTAAAAATATAGCTAAATATAGCTAAAAATTTCTTAAAGAAGAACTCTTTATTTTTTTGATGAACCCTTGCAGTGGGGCTACAAGAGTTAACTGCTCCTTTTGGTCTGGGTGCAGAAATAAAAAAAGTGATACTCACTGGGCCAGCTGTCCAGCTTCTCTCCAACTACACTGCAGTGATGGGGTGTCCCTTGTTGTCCTCACGTTTATTCACAGTGTATAGAATGTGATGACCACAGGATCCATAGACTGTTGCAACACTGGATGCACTGGTCTAAGAACAAGTCGCCTCAGAGGATCGGGTGAGTATAACTATTATTTTTGTACCTATATGAAAACGAGCAGTAAACCCTTGCAGCGCTGGGGTAGCCCACTGCAAGGGTTAATAAAAAATGTGCCCGTTGTTGTTCTTTAATAGACCTTCTCTAGTATTAAATGGATTGCCCATTAGTGATTATGCTTCATAGCAAGGAACTCCTCCTGAAACCCTCCTAGTCAGAAGCAGTAAGAAATGTAATCAGATAGCAGACTGTCCAATCTTATACTATGCTGTTTTTATTGGCACTAATACATAGGTAACTATGGAAGGACTAATTCATCCATGCCAATGTAAATAACACCTAATGGCTATACTGAATCTTTGAAGGGGTTGTTTGCATCCTTCTCTGTGTTACCAGTGTTTTAAAACTGCCTATTTTGTGACCTCTAATAGACTAAGAAGATAAGCTTGTTTTAAAATGTAACCGCTTCAGGGCCGCAAAACACACCTGTAAAAACGGTGGCAACCTTAGGTGATTATACCAAGATCACAGCTGCTAATCTTGGTATAATTTTTTTGCAGCTGGATGATTGCTGTTACATACAAGCGTTTGGACGACTATAGAGGCAGTGCCGGATTCCCCACAAGGCCACGGCCTCGGGACAGCAGGGAGTAAAGGGGCAGCACAGCCTCCCACTGACATTCCTGTTTACATACAAGCGTTCCATCGGCTGTAGAGCCGTCTGATTGCTTGTATGTGGTGCCGCTCTGTGCCCCGCCCCCTGCACCGCTGCTGGTCCCAGGCTCCGCTGTGCCCGGTGTAGGCCCGGGATCGGCACGGTGGCTCTGTGCCGGAAGATCTGAGGGAGGTCAGTACATGATCTCCCCTCGGGTGTTGTGAATGTGAAAATGATGTTTATTACATCATTTCCGCATTCAGCTGTCATTCTCCGGCTACAGGAGCCGGAGAGAAGCTGGTGAAGCAGATCTCTACTTCATCAGCTTCTTTTGGGGTCCCTAGGTGACATTAGGGGTCTTTGGAGACCCCTGATGTCTGCATAAAGAGGACCTGTCACTGTAATCTGATATCACATAGGGGGCTTCTTAGTCCCCTATGTGCTAACAATAAAGTTAACAGTAAAATAAAAAAATGGCAGTCAAAGTACTGCAGTGCTGAAAACTGAAAAATGGCTGGGACAAGAAGGGGGTTTAACACCCTGGTCTTCAAGGGGTTAATCACCACAGAGGTGATAGAGATTTAATCTGTGTTGGTTAAAGGCTTTAACGCTGCATGTAAAATACGCTGATGTTGCTATTCAGAGTTAAAGCCTGAGTCTTACACTCACCAATCTGCTACCCGTTTCTATGGAGAAATCCGGACGCAAGCCAATTCACAACCAGTAGCTTGTTGCTGGGCACAAGTATAGCTGCCAGTCAATGACAGTACAGCCTATAGGTTTGCACTGGTTTAAAAGCCAGGTGTGAGGCGCGGCAGTGTGCTGAGTTGCTGACTGCTTTGATGGAGAAGCATAATAATATATTTCTCCTGGGTCAGTGATAATGTTGGATTCACCCCTCTGTGTGAGGTAATGAGCTCATCATATATGAAGAATTAATTTTAAAAAACCTTCAAAATATTGTTTGCGGGACTACCAGTCACTGTTAGAGAACACAAATAAAAGGCACTGTGTGGACCCAGAACCAGCATGGCGGGTCTAACTACTTCAATCAGAGGGAGATGTGGCTGATGTCCCCTCTGATCATTGAAAGTGGAAGTGATGTGTATTACATAACTTCCAGTTTCAGTGAGTCCTTTCTCTGGCTGCTGTAGCCAGAAAAGAAGCTAGTGAAGCACGATATGTGCTTCATCAGTTTCTCTGGGATCTATAGGTGACATTAAGGGTCTAATAGACCCCTGATGTCTCCATGAAAAGGACCTGTCACTTGTTAGCCCCTGATGTGATAGCAATAAAGTTTAGTGTAAAAAATTAATGTCGCATATAAACCCCCCCCCCCCCAATATTTTTTTTAATCCCCTGCCCCTAAGCACACATACACACAAATGTAAACACGTGTGGGGTACACCTATGTGTGAAAAAGATGCCACACATTACATAGTTTACCACCAAAAAAGTATTCGTGTTTGTGTGCACTCAAATTTATTTCAGTGTATTTTATCTTTAAAATATTTGTTTGACAAACATGTGTGCAAATATTGTATGACACAAAAATTGCAACTAGCATTTTTTTTTTATTCTACAGGACCTCTGCTTTCTGCAAATATATAATTGTTTGGGGGTTTTAAGCTGTTTTCTAGCCAAAAATTCAGATTTTATCATGTGTGTGCAAAAAGAAATTGCTCCAGACAGCTAATGGTTAAAAAGGATAGTGCCATCCAGTGCCATACTACCTAATCAGTAGAGGGGTAGAGGAGTATGTAAACTGCACTTATCCCTGTATCATCAATCATTATCCTCGAAGTCTTGTTTTGAACTAATTCCAGGGCCTACATGGAGAAGTATTTTGTATGTTTTGGTATGAAATAAATGGTAACACTTCACAGGAAAAAGTGGAAAGGGATATAAAAATCTGGTACGTGCGTTAATTACCTCCCGGGATGCAAAAGAGGGATACTTTTTAGTAAAAAAATTATTTATAAAATGTTGTGCCTTGCCACATCTATTTTACACTTTATGTTGCCATTCAGAGTTAAAGCCTTACACTCACCAATCTGCTACCCGTTACTCATGGTTTGCATTTAAAGACTTCTACAATAATTAACTTAAGATAATAAGAAAAGGGATGACATATAGGCCCACATGCATATGATGGTATAATAGGTCAAGTAGATTCCAAGAAAATGTTCTTACCTCATATTTGTCTTTTTTATTGAGATCCAGTAAACTTAAGCCTGCAAGAAAAATACAGACATTAATGTCTGGTGGGATTACTTTCATAGTAAAGCAATAGTAAAAACTAGATTCACAGCAGTAAATAAAAAAACATTGCCATAACTAGCCATACATTGTTATAAAAAAAATATAACAGATTCCTCCATCCATGCTAAACAGTGTGAATGGAGGAATCGCCCGCTGTGTGACAGAGCCGGGTGTGCCCCTGTGCCAACAGGGGCACCCACTGTGCAAATTTCGACCAGTTCATCAAAAACCATCGGAGAATTCACGCAGTGTATAACCAGCTTTAGTTTCTGAAAGACCAGGCCCTGGGGCTGTTATCCTGACTCTAGCTTCACTGTTTAGTGCTTCACTGACCTTACGGAAACATGCTTTTATATTTCAGCTTTCGTATGATGTCTGATATTTAATAATATTTTTTTAACTTTCAATAGTTCTTTATTGAAGTCAAGTGAAGCATACATAACAAAATGCATATAACATAACCAACTTAACATCCAGGATACAGTATGCTTTGCAATATAATTTCCATTTATAGGGAGGTTAGGAGGAAGGGAGGATGACAAAACAAGTGGAAAGAGAGGAGGGGAGGAAGGAGGGAAGACAAGGTATGGACCACTTATGCGTCAGGCAATATTTGAGATCAAACAATGCAGTATGGATGTACAATCCATTTTCTCCAAGCTGAAAGGAATATAGGATATGAGTTATTTTTCATGGCGATATTTAATAATATTGATATATAGTGCAGTGCTTTTTTTAGTCACATTATTTATTATGAGCTCACTCATAATTGGCACATCTGCTTAGGCTTAGGCTTAGCATAGGAACTATTATGTGTATGTGCTGTAGATTAAGGGAGTGGTTCAATTGTTATAAGCTATGGAGCAAGCACATTGAGATAATTTTTGACAAAGGCTATTAATCCTCTTCTGAAAAGTTAACTAGCTTCTGTAGGAGAAACAGAGCTCCATATGCTAAGAAGGATTATTAATATTTGGCACGTCCCTCCATGGCTCACAAGGCTATACACTTGGAAGAACAACAGTAGCGCTGCGGGAGGAGAGCGCTGTGATTGTGTTTTTTTTGGGGGGGGGGGCAAAAAAAAAATCTTGCACCAGGGCTCTTTGTTCCTTAGGTCCGCCACTGACAACAGTGTGGCCATTTTAACAACTGAAAGAATGTTCACGGTCATGGTCACATCCCATCACTCTCTACCAACAGCAAACCCCCTTCCCCCCAACTTACCTGAATCACAAGGTTCTTCTTTCCACAGACTACTGTCATTTTTCTAATTTATTGCAGCTGTGCGCGGCTCGTAGTTCTGAATGGAGCACAAATGCAGTGACAACACCGCATTTGTAGTCCATTCATACTTCCTCTCGTCCCTTAAATGAAAGTCTGTACCTTGGTACAGGCAAGGACCAGTAGGAAGAGTCTGTAGGAGTCTGAGCATTGCATCCACGATCCAATGATCATGGTTGCAGTCACACATGTAAAAAATTAATAAACACAAACTTTTTCTTTTAATATTTATTTTTGAAAAGTTGAACTATGCCTTTAAAATGTCAGATCTGCACTCAAATCGAGGTATGCTGTGTGAATAGGAACACACACCAAATATATAGTGGGGTTTTCTCAACTCTGGCTGCAAAAGCGGAACTACACTTTAAGACAAGCCTCATTTTCTGTTAAACACCTCAAGGTTTATGAAGAACGATTTTCTTTTCTAGTAGGTACATTCGTAAAAAAGAATCAAGGACAAGTAAATAGCCTTTCAATTTACATATTAATTCCTATTTCTGAGGTGATAGAATTAAAGTTCTTTTTAGTTTGTTAATGCCTGCTAACTAGAGCAGTCTCAAAATTGTGGGAGGAAAAGCCCCTCGTAAACTGAGAACCATATATGTATGGCATGAAGCTATGAAATAGTTACAGTGGGATGATTCACAATCCGGGAAATTGGTTTTTGCTGCTGATCTGAAGTGTAAGATGATGTCATGAGGTGTGTCGGGTTGCTCAGAGAGTGGAAACACACTGAATTTTTTTGTGAGTAGTCATTGACATAAGAACCAGTGGGAAGTAGATATTTACAGTGAACAGAGTGTTCTTGTATGAGTTCAGAGAAAAGCATGCCTAGCTTTTACTGAGTTCCTACCCAGTCGTTACAGGCAATGAGACAGCTTCTGGTAGTGTATGAGTCGTTTCAATGAGCTTTCCATCTCAATGTTTCATTCACACTTGAGCGTGAGCATTTTTGTGCATTTTTTTCTCGCACAAATGCACATTTTTGAAGCCTTTTTCATGTGTCATCAAGCATTTTTGTTTTGTCCAACAGAAATCAATTCCATCTGTGACACCATATGTCACTGTCTGTCTGTGAAGGTTCTCATTCATCCAGGTCACTCCTGACTGCCCTATTTTGTCCACAGGACTGAGGTTGCTAGGAGGAGACCGGTTGTGGCACAAAAAAAGCATAAAAAACATGCTAAAACTCGTGTCATTTTTTTAGACACTCCCAATGAAGTCTATGGGGCCAAAAACGTGTGACTCTACCTGAAAAGAAAAGCGAATAATAAGTGGCAGCACGATGCCTGCGTGCGAATGGCCACCACTAAGTATAACGGAAATCTTCATGTTGAGCATTGTTCCACGCGGGAAACACTTGACAAATTGCTCAGGTGTGAATGGAGGCTAGATGGAAAAATACTTACACATGTACAACAGTCTTAAAGAACTCTAGGAAAAAAATGTTATTAACCCTTGCAGCGGGGCTACCCCCACACTGCAAGAGTTAACTGCTCATTTCTATCTAGGTGCTAAAAAAAACAACTTATATTCACCTGATACTCTCAGCCAGCTTGTTCTTAGACCAGTGCTTGGAGCCTCTCTCCCCGTCCTCTGCAGCAGTCTAAGATCTTGTAAATCATCATGTTCTATACACAGTGTATAGATATGGGGATGCTGCAGAACATTGCAATGGTGCATCAGAGGGGGACAGAGGCTGGAGGGAGCGCTGTGACAGATGACCAGCTCGGAGCTTTGGGTGAGTATAACGTTGTTATTTTTGTCCCTAAACCAAAACGAGCCCTTTCAGTGCCGGGGCAGCCCCACTGCAAGGGCTAAGAAAAAGTTTTCCAGGAGTTTTTATCTAACAGAAACTGTGCTTTGTCCATGCATGACAAAGCAAGAGGATGGCAAATCTGCTGCCCTTCTCAGCTGCACTTAGTCACTACCTTATGCTCCACCACTCTATTCAGCAGCTAACAGTGAAGGGAGGATGACCTGTGTACGCTTAACTCATGACTGTCTCTTCACTCCGATGTGACTGAGCTGGGCGTCTTGTGACAGATCTGAGTAGCTAAAAAACAATCACCAAGCACTGGGACTGTCACATAGCAAAAAGTCACAAACTCCTCATGTACTATATTATTTTACTTTACTGCTGGTGGTGGATTGAATCTGAAGGGAGGGAAGGAAAGATAAATATGTGGAGATATGAACTGGATGTAGTTATAGTGAAACTACCTTTACCTGTTCAGGGTAAAAAAGGTAAACTTAGCT